GCAGATTCAGCTCTGTCCAAGTGGGAAACGCCGCTTAACCGAAGTGCCACGCGTCAGTGCCCATTCTCGCGCTCGACCACCGAGCTTGGAGATGGCTAGCGGCATGCGCTGTTGCTCGGTCTAGAGCATGGCAACCGCCGTGACCATCTCGACATCTCTCACCGAGGGCAGGAGATTATCTTCATCCTTACCCTCGAAGGTCTTAACACTCATTATGCGAGGCTTGGATCGGGGGGGGAGTCATCTGTCGTCGACGGTGGCGTTCTGGACGCAGTCGAAGCCGACATCTTCTGCTGTAGGTGCTCTAGCAGAGCATTTCCATAACTCAAAACTGCCTCAAGGCGCGCGATGATCGCTTCAAGTTCTTGCAAAGCGAGGTGTTGTACACCTTCAGGGCCAAGCAGAGATATCGCCTTTTTAAGCCTGTCTTTAATGCCTTGGGCAAATAAGAAAACTTCACTATCCTCACAGAGAATGAGTCGTAACGGCTCAGGTGTAGATTGACTACAAGTGCTACCAAGAGCCGCGGGGCTGCTGTAGATATCTCGCTTAGAGGAAGCTTGGTTAAGGTTGGCGGCCTTCGTTCTATACTTAGAACCAGTACGTGTTTATAGGATTTAAATTTCTTTACTCCAAGAGAAATTATAATTCTAACCCAGGGCTAATTAACTCATCTGTTTAAAACGTAAAATGTAACTCTCGGTTTTATTTGCGGCAAAGCCGCCTATATCTAAAGCTATAGATTTTCCTACGTATAAGTAAAACCAAATTAAATATATAACTACTGGCAGTCCAGCCACGTACTGACTTCTTGTTTAAGTGCTCACACCATCTTGAGTGACCCGCAAACTTCATAACAGGGCTCGTGAAACTCCGTTTACTGTGCGTGCTGGAACTACAACGTTCTATCGACCCTGCAAAAAAACACCCCTGTAATCCGCACAACCGAGAGAGACTAGGCCCCGCTGAGCAAAAAAAATGATAGTGCCACCTTATGAGTACCATTGTGACGCTTGGCAGCTAAGAGACCCACTCAACCTTTGAATGCAGGGTGAAGCTTACCGTCATTGGGATGCCTCGCTATACCTATAAGCCCAGACATTGGTATCAAATGCCATTAGGCTTTGGTATTTTGGCAGAGCCTCCACATCCCACGCTCCAACCACGCGCATCCACCTCCAAAAATTCACGTCAAGTACCCAGTTTCAGTTTGATGATTAAAAAATTGCGCGAACTTAGATAATGATACTACGAAGTT